CTCCCGTCCTCTTTTTTGCTTGCTGAAATATGGTAACCCTAATGGAACAGTGTTCTATAATTCAACAACAGAAAGACCGAGTAGGGGATTATAGCCTGGCACGAGGTATAGTGTGGAGAAGACTTCCTCTCCTCAGAAAAGACTCCTCACTGAACAAAACAAAGTAACATGTGAGTTATCAGCAGCACAAAATGGAGGTTGAGGAACATGCCAGTTATTGACGTGAACAGCTATTAAAATTAATAATTGCATGAATGAACTCTCAGTCGTCCTGATTCAGGGCACAAACAGTTCAACGGTGGGATCAGGAAGAATTGTACTCCTCTGGTACAGCAGTGCCCAGTTAAATGCACGATTGAGGGGGTGGAGGCTTGATTACATCTCATTGGCAGCAGGATACCAGGGCATTTTGGCTTTTCAGTAGAGAAATTCACAGGTCTGTGACTCTTGATTATAACGATGGTGACTTGTGCTGATATAATAATGTGAGATGCGAGATTGTTTACTTGTTTCTGAGGCATTAGGCTAATATGTGACACCACAAGCATCTGTTAAAGACACAATTGCTATGTAGCTTTGGCCGTTTTGAACCAAACGGTGCCTATAGTAACATCTTCTGTTCGTTTACAGAGGGCACTCTTGTAAAGAGAATCTCATTATAAAAAACGCTGCTTTGCTGAAAGGCTTTCACAGCTTGATGATGCAATTGTCACCATGGAGATTTCATTCCAACAGAAAAGAATGAATTCTATGCGGTCCTGCTTTTGAAATGTGTAAACAGCAGATACCTTCTAATGCCTTTTGTCTAAATCTTCGCCTTGTAAGATAACTTGGACCGGAACATTGGAAAGGAAGTCTATAAATGTTAATGGCAAATTTTATTTTCCATAAACAGCCTGATCTCCAGGGATGAGGTGTGCGTAATGGCAGATTAATGAAGTGGGCATGAATAACAGACTTTGAGCCAAAGACAATAGGGAGGGAAGTATACTTTCCTCAGATTTGAGAGAATTATTCAAACACACTGCTCTGTGAATTTCAGTTGAAGTCTGATTGATTCTCTTTCTTTAAAGAGGAGCTGCCTTTCTGTATTCTCCCGTGGTCCACTTTGAAGACAGCAGGCAGAGACTGCTTTAAAATTTGCATTTTAGTGTTTGACGTAACACTTTTTGGAAGCATTGTCAGTATGGCTGGGCACCTCCTTTCACAGTAATGACCTGTAAAAGGAGCCAGGTGCAGGCTGATTACTCTGATTCAAACAAAGCCAAGAAACCACTCTGGATGTGTAACAGCTGATCACTTTGTTTATCTTTCTCTGGCATAGTCTCTCAAGGGAAGTCCTATCTGTTGACTCATTTATAACTAAACTACTGAAAAATATACTTTAGGGAGCAATCTTGCACTGGCTGGGGGGATGAACAAGAAGACGTAAGAGGTCTCTTCTATCTCTGAAACCTGTCATCTTCTATCTCTGAATGTGTTATGATTATTCAAGAGCAGACAATGGAAACAGTTACAATTTTACCATCCTAATGCATTACATGGTACTGGCAATCATTCAGCAAAGTGAATGTCACCAGACTTCTTAGGGTTTGTCTACAGAATTTTGGAGCAAGTCTTCCATTTCGGGTGAATGGTCTTGGGTTAGGGAAGCTCATGCTAGTGCTCTAAAAACAACTGTATATAGACAGCACTTTAAAGCTGTAGCTTGGGCTGGATCTTGACCTATGAAGCTTAGCTAAAGCATTACTTAAGCTGAGTGGCTTATTTTGTTTTTAGCTTAATTTGGCTCCTAATAGACATCAGTTAAATCGATTTTAAACCATGTTTAAATTGTTTTTTAGAATTTCCATTTAGCTTTATGCATTAACTAAATGTGATTTTAAATCATACCTGCAGTAAAAGCAGTGCAACTTTGTGTATAGACAAACTCCAAGTGAACAGGTTTCTGATTACTATTACTTATTTGCTAAAGTCTGCAACTGTTCTTAGGGCTGTACAAAACACACAAGTAAAGTCTGCTAAAAAAACTTAAAACTTAGAAGAGACACACTCAGGAAACAAGGTGGGAATAGACTACTGACACTTCTTAAATGAAGTTCTAAAACTCAGCACGTTTGTGAATATTGCGGCAAGGATGAGTGCTTTAAATGGAACTTGACTGAAGAGAGGGTTGAGGTTTTGCAGATTTTTTTAGGAAGGGTGTGCCATGAATGGGGGCAGTGTGAAGAAAAGCATAGAGTTGGGAAGTAGGAAGAAATGACAAAAGGGATATTTGAGGCTTGCATCATTGGTGGAGTATACATTGAGGGGGGAACACAGTAAGAGGTTAGATTGTACATGTAGGCTAGTGCACCAATGCCAAGGTGATGGGTGTGGTATGAAAACTTAGATAGAAATGCAGTTGTAAGGACTTGAAGATAAGGACGAAAAATGTGAACTGTCTACGCTGCTTAAGTGGCAAGTCAGTGGAGAGATACAAACTACTGCATCTCAATCACCCCTTTTTTGTCTGCTTCTGATCTATCCTGAAGCATTCTATGTCACAAATCTGGCTTTGCAAGCGTGGTCAAAAGGTGTATAGCTATCCATCTGTTTTTAAGATTCTCCATATATATAGACTGTTACCTTTCCAAAATCCCCAAGCCTTTTGAACTTTCCCCATGGGGTATGATATTATGGTTCTGCATGACAGATGTATAACCATTGGCTTTCCAGTCATTAATGTTCCTTTGCAATCTGCTAAAAACAAGAACAACAATCCCTTCAGAAACCTTCCCACCCTCAGAGGTTAATTTGGTCATGTAGGGATCTTTTAATGCAGTAGACACTGAAGACAGGGGTTTCCTGCTTTGCATGGCACGATGACGTGGTTCAGTGGGGCAGCTCTCTTCTCTTGATAACCATTACAGCTCCTATTTCCACCTTTGGTCCTCTTCCAATCTTGTCATTCTGAATTCACCTGCTCTCCCATATTATTGTGGAACTCATAAAAAGTGAGTCTGCTCCCTCTGCTGGCAGTGCAGCTGACTGGATGAATGAACACTTTTCATAGAAGTCTTCTGTCCAGATGTCAGTACAAAAATATTTAGTTGTAAGGTATTGTATAAAGAAAAATTTAAAAAAATGTGGTCCCACATTCTTTGCCAGATGTGGGGCAGCCAGAAAGAATATCATTGTTTACCACATCAAAAAGAATAAAATCACCAGGGGGTAATGATGCTGAAGTTCTTAAAAGGATATTACAAGTAATATAACTTTAAAAGCTCTTCTCTAAGCTAATCTATATAATTCACACTGTGCCCTTTGTTTTTTAAAAGGTAGTTAGAGTTCTAATTTGTTTTTAGAAGTTGTCAAAACAGGATCAAAAAGGCCAAAAGACAGAACTTGGGAACATTGCCAATCTTTTGCTGGATGGTTAGTGAAATAATTGTAGAGAATGGAAAAATTAAACCTTTTATTTAAAACGAAGTTAAGAGTGAATATAATGAAATATGGCTTGGGTAAGGAGATCTCAGCTATGAACACTAATCTACCCTACCCCAATTTTGACTTTCTATATCAGCTTGCCTTTTTTTTTTTTTTTTAATCTTTTGCACAACATGAAGTCAAATTCCTGGCTGGTACTGACTTGATTGCTCAGAGGTATGCCTGCTAGAAGGTGGTTCACATTTCTATGGGTTGCTGTTTGGAGGAGGTGAAGGGGATAGTGGCAGAGAATATGTAACTGCTTAAAATGGGGTTTTCCCCCTTTTCAGTTAGCCTGGAGAAACTGACAAGGCATATCTTCATTGCCACACAGCTTTTGTTGAAATAGCCACAGCAAATTTTGCCTGCAAAACTGTAAGCTGATATACCTGCTGTCGAAGAATATAAATGTGAACTGTAAAAGCAAATTGATTATCCGGTAGCTACTGAATGCAACCTCATATGTAAACAGAAGGCTCTAACCTCATACCATAGTGATACATCTTTTAGTAAATGTGACATTTACATCATTCTGTCTTCTTTAGATCTCTCTTCCAGAAGTGTCCATAAAAAAGTATCTTACTCATAACAGATGGTCAAAGCACTGCTTTGAAATTTCTCTGAAGAAGAATCTCTGTTGATTTCATTAGACTTGAAGAGTGTTCATGCCGCTATAGACTTGGAGGAATTTATTTATTATTATGAAAGATCCCATGTTGAATGTATTCCTTTCCTTTTCCTTTGCAGGTGATGTGCCTTCAGGATTTCTTTGGTGATGATGACATTTTTATTGCATGTGGACCAGAAAAGTTCCGTTACCAGGATGATTTCTTGCTAGATGAAAGTGGTAAGAAAATAGCACATTTAAAAAAAAGACACACTATTAAAGTGTGGGGCAGCTTTCCAGATCTTATTTAGCCTGTAAAATAAGGCCAAAATGGTGTCAGATCAGACTATAATACTAGTTTTAGATACAAAATCAGGATGTCTGTTCTTTAATTTTGATTTCTAATACAGAAAACAAAAATAATTGAAAGTTTATGATGAGGTTAATAAGGGCCTATTATCAGCTAACTCACAACAAATTCCTATATAAAACCAAGTTCATAGTAATTTTTATAGGAAACGGGGGTTGTGTGAATGGCTAAACTCCTATTTTATATTGTCTTTATTTTAAATCAAATTTGAATGGTCATAGATCTTCTACCGGTCTTTCTTGGCTTATCTCCCATGTACACTTATTCTACTTTGACATCACACAATTGCTTAAAATTGTCTCTCTTCCTCCCAATCCCAGTAACTGCTTTCCTCCCAACCCCTCCCATCTAAATCTTTGGAATCTGGATTTTGGTAACACCCCAGGAGTAGCATGAAAAAAAGAAGCTATGTTGTATATGGAAGCCAGTTAATATTGATAAATTAAGACAAACTCCCCATAGAAAACTAAATGAAATCTGTGTTCTATGTAAAGTCTCTCGGAGTCTGATTGCGTAACTTCACTAGAGCAAATAGACCTTAGAGGAAAACATGTTTCTGGTCTGAACTTGCCTACCCTATATTAAAGGATGTTTCTAAGTGCTGGACCATGAGTGGCAGCCAACAAACTGCAAGTTGTCTTGTGCATAAGGAATACCAAAAGAAAAAAAAAGGGGGGGGGCTGCAGATTATCTCATTCATTTGTGATGTAGATCAGGAACCAACTAAAGGGCTTGTTTTTCCCTCTCCTTGTCCAGATTTTTTCCTCAGCAGCTGGATGAATGTATCTTGGGGAGAGGGATAGCTCAGTGGTTTGAGCATTGGCCTGTTAAACCTAGGGTTCTGAGTTCAATCCTTGAGGGGGCCACTTAGGGATCTGGGACAAAATCAGTACTTGGTCCTGCTAGTGAAGGTAGGGGCTGGACTTGATGACCTTTCGGGGTCCCTTCCAGTTCTAGGAGATATGGTATATGGCGATATACCTATCTTCAGCACCTTTTCCCTCCTTTAAATAATTTATAACATAATGTCTGAGTCTTACAGGACAGTCCTTTGCTTAGAATAAGGAGAAATGCACAGATAGTCATTGTAGATATGTTTAAAGATCACTACTTTCTGATCTTTATATTCAACATATAATAGAAAATGCAATTGTATTTGTCGGACCTATTGAATTGGAAGGTTTGGAGGGTTTTTTTTGGACTTATCTGGATCCAGACTTATGAGCTTTTGGAGGGTGGGGAAAAGTCCTTTATCAGTACCTATATTATAAGCTGGGAGATGTGAGTGAAAAAATAGTTAATACATACTGGTAAGCAAGGAAAGTAACATTCTGAAGTGCATGCGTGCACTCGCATACACATGCCTTACATCTGTATAGAACCTTTCATTATAGAGTTAATGTGAACATTTTACACGAGTTAGTCTGTCCCACATGGACATGTACTGTAGCCTCCTCTGAGGTGCAGTATGGTAACTGTTGAACAACAACAGACAAATTTAGGACAGGAGTTGAAGATGCAAGGGAAATTTAGTAGGCAGCAATACAGATGCCCAAGCTGGAATGTAGCCAGGACGGGCAACGTTAGCACTACTTACTCATGTGAAGAGATTCAAGTGATCTTTAATGACCAGGACCTCCATTTTGTCTTATCTGCAGCTGCACAGTGTCTCTTAGCACCACGCTGTGGCCTTTGTACAGATCTGACTTGGAGGGAAAAGTGGCAGCTACATGCCCAAACTCCTTCATGTAGATATTTTCTGGAGGTCTCCTATCAAAGTGTCGCCTTGGCCTGACTCTCTCTAGTTCAATTTGCCTTACATAGCATCCTGTCTGCAAGGATGTAGTGTGTGTTTTTGGAACATTTACACTTAAACCTTTATTGTCTAGGGACAAAATAAAAATGAGCTGTAAATCGTCACCTGCTTGTGGGAGTTTACCAGAGTGGGGCACTGTGTTTGATTCTCCAATATAGAGAGCTTCAATGAACAGTCACAGTTTTTATGTTAGGAATTAGTAAACATAATAAAATCTGACCCCAAAATACATTTCTGTTTCAATGCAGGGTGTGAAGTTTTGCAGCCACTTAATTAGTTCAGCATTTTTTCTTAGGTTTTTACTATGCTGAATTTGCCCAAGTAGCCTACAGTTGATGGCTGACACACCCACCCACATTTCCCAGACATTAATCTCCCTAGGGCTCTCAAGCTGTTACAAATTAAATAAATGAGCTTTCCAAAAAGTTTGTTTTGAAACAGTGCAAAAATTATTTATCAAAAGTCTGAGTTGCATTAAGATTGTTAGCAATGATTGATTTCAGAGTAGCAGCCGTGTTAGTCTGTATCCGTAAAAAGAACAGGAGTACTTGTGGCACCTTAGAGACTAACAAATTTATTAGAGCATAAGCTTTCGTGGACTACAGCCCACTTCTTCGGATGCATATAGAGTGAAACATATATTGAGGATATATATATATATACACACACACATACAGAGAGCATGAACAGGTGGGAGTTGTCTTACCAACTCAGAGGCCAATTAAGTAAGAGAAAAAAACTTTTGAAGTGATAATCAAGATAGCCCAGTACAGACAGTTTGATAAGAAGTGTGAGAATACTTACAAGGGGAGATAGATTCAATGTTTGTAATGGCTCAGCCATTCCCAGTCCTTATTCAATCCTGAGTTGATTGTATCTAGTTTGCATATCAATTCCAGCTCAGCAGTCTCTCGTTGGAGTCTGTTTTTGAAGTTTTTTCTGTTGTAATATAGCCACCCGCAGGTCTGTCATTGAATGGCCAGACAGGTTAAAGTGTTCTCCCACTGGGTTTTGGAGTTTATGATTGCTGAGGTC